GAAGTTATCGTTACTTGGGGTCCAAAAGTGAAGTAGCAGTGACTTAAAAGAATCATTGAACAAAATATCTTACGAGAACCTTTTAGAGGTCTTATGTAAAACATGTGTTTGTTCTGAGCCTCAATTAGAACCTGCAGGACAATCCAGAGTGAAAGTGTCATGGTTTTATTTTTCATATGTGGGTTCCTTGTTTAAACCAGAGAAGCTGACAAGAGCACCACTCTCCAGAGTCTGACTTTAGTTCTCCTTTATCTAAGTCATTCATGGAAGGTTGCTAACGTTAGCCTGGCTTGCTATCACATGCATGTCTCTATACCAGCAAAAGAGGCAATTCCAGCAATTAGGGACTCACCTGTAGGCACTTGGTAAGTGTTGCTGCTTCTTTAAGTTTTTAGAAGGGGTCTGAATTAACTCAGTTTAGAAATGTTTATTAGGTTTTCAGCGCAGGTTTTTTGCAATTAAATATGTGGTAGCTTAGTCAATTTATTTCACAAATTCTTGCAGTAAACTGTACAAAAGCAGAAATAAACTCTTGTAAGCCATGCTCAACCTTTGATAGAACAGTGATAAATTAAGTGTACCTACCTGTCAATGATGATTCGTAATATGAGGTAAAGTGTAATCTGTTCTCCACTCACCCAATATTTAAAGAGTTCTGTATCGAGCAGGAGGGCACAGACATTTTTACAATCAAGTATGCACCTAAAGTTGGTCCTAAAATTGAAGTCAGTCCAATCCAGAATTTAATGAAGTTATTCTATATCCAGGTTTAGGTTCCTCATCCACCAATGTTTGGATTAGGGTTAGCTGTCAGGGGACGAGATACACCTAAAGTATTAGGTTTAATCCACAGACCTTGGGTTTGGGTTTCCTCCAGAACTTCTGATCTTTTGGGGGCTGACTAAACTTTATTGGTAAAAACATAAACGTTCAAGTATAGAGAAAACAATGTTCGAACACCCTTACAAACAGCAGTCGAATGTCAGTTAGGTAAAAAGCTTTAATTAGGGCATAAACTGAAACATTGAAAGTTTTAATTTAATCTAAAAAATTAAAAAATTTAACCAAATGAGCCAACATCTGGTGTTCCCTTCTAGTATAGATTATAAAAATGGCTGCTCTCTACTACTAGAGTAGGATGCCTCTCATATATCTAAGATTTGATCATTTATGGCTTTGAAAGAAGGTCAAGTCTTTTGTTAAACTGTTGCAACCTGGAGAGGCTGTTGATACCTTAGTTCCAGAATTGACTATTGTAAAGCTCTTTCTGTCGGTTCACTTAGCTGTCTTCAACTTGTGCAGAATGGAGCAGCTTTTAGCTAATACTTCCAGACTGGACCATATTGCATCTGTTTTATGTTTACTATCTTGGCTTCCTTTTCTTTTTAGAATTAAACATTTTATTTGTCTCTAAAGCACTGAATGAATCTGTTACCCCTTGCTCTGCCCCTATCTATAACTAATATCAGTTCTAATTAGAACTTGGCCCTTTTAAATCAAAAGATATGGTATTCGGACAGGCTTTTAACCACTCTAAAGTGTGGTGACTTATCTTGTTTCATATTTGTTTGTTTATACTATTTGTTGTGGTTTTTTCTGCTTTAAACCTTTTATGCTTTTTATATCAATTTTTTCAGCCCCCTGGTTGTGTAAAAGGCTATATAAATAAATGATTTGTTAACTGAACACTCAGTTCTGGACTGTATAGAAAAATATGTTCCCTATAATATAACTTGTAATTCAGATTTTATTTTGAAGTTCCTATAAGTATAGCTTAAACCTGTGTTTGCCAATAGCCAGATGCTTTCAGTATATTATCAAAGCTGGAATAATAAAAGCATGTTTGCTGTTGACGTTCAAGAAAGGGTAAAAAAATAAAAAATAAAAAATAATTATTGGAAGTAAAACAAAACAAAAACTGTAAAGTGATTAATAATAGAACTTAATTTCAAGCCTATGTGTAACTTTATATGTGGATACTTTGTAACCTCTTTTTTTGCTTTGTCTGAAAAACGAATTGCAGAAAAAAAATCACATTGTGCTGTAAAAAGCTGTGCATTTTGTAATATAGTATGAATAAAGCCTGACAATATTCATCACAAAAAAGCCTGTTTCATGAACATGTTTTTTATTGTCTTACAAATATTAAGTTATCCACAAAAAATAAAATAACTTAGATAATAACCATATTAAAACATAAAAATACAAACATACATTACATTTAACACTTAGAATACATAATGCTGACATTGTTCAAAGTTCTCCTGGATATTGTTTAGTATATGCAGACTACTTATCAGTTACATTGGTTGCATAATACCAGATTTCTGTTTTGAACACAGAAAATATATTGTTTAAAATAAATTACACCATCTGATAAGTAGCTTACTTATACTATTCCTTATATACTTTGAAGCTGACATCAGAATATCCCTATAAAACACACCGATAATTTGTGAAGCGAGTGAATGTACATACAAGGAGCTTACAGTGTTGCTCACAAGAAATGCATCACAAAACGGGAAAGACTGATTGAAGCCACTTTAGGATGCTAATAGGGTGTGTGCAGCTTGGGCTTGTTTTTGTGCATTCAATTTCCTGATGTATCTAAAAATTATTGATGGCAATTGTGAATTCTAACTCTTATTTTTTATTTACAGTGCTACCTAGATCATGTCAAAGATCAAATGTAGAGTTTTTGGGTCTATTGTGCACTCTGACCATCTTTTTAATGCACTTATCACATCACAACAGACTGGGAACTGAGAATGGTGTGTCTTTGCTGTGCTATATGGTGGTCGAAAAACAGTGGCACAAACATTTTACAAGCGTAGTGTTTTGAAGTGGTGCATGGATTTTAACTACAGTACTTTCTCCAGTTAAAGACAGTAAAGGTGTGCCATGAAGAATCCCATTAAGCAGCACCAACATCTAGCTTCAGATAAGCATTTTGGCCAACTTTATCCTTCGGCCTTTAAGTGACCATGGCTGTAGTGGTGTAATCAGTTTATTTCATGCTGGGAGTTGATTTTTGATCCACATCTTCTCCTGTCTTACCCTAATGAGGACCTGAACTCTTTGTTTTATCATTATTTTATAGCGTTATACTTCATAACACTCAACATAATAACAGTGATTGGGAGATAACACAACATATCAGTTAATCCTGCTCCGTCATATGTGCAACGTGATTAAACTGAGTTATGAGTTATGATGCCAAAGTTTTGTCTAGGTAGTGGTCAAGAAACATGAAAATGAATGGATTCTGGCAAAAGTTTCCATTGATGATTGTACTGTTTAGTGTATAGATAGTTTAAAATGTACAAAACAAATCAGAAATTTAAATAAAATAAAGATCTTATATCAATAAAGCTATTAAGAAATATTTTCTCTTTGATGCATTTCACTTTGCCTTGTAAGATTAATGCATAATTTTTATCAGTTAAGATGTTTTCGTTTTTTTATATAACTCTGCTCTCCAGTCTTCATAGTAAGGTGGTAAAGATCCTTTTTAAATCTGGCTTGTAGCAACTTCAGGCGCCTCCTGCATGTGCAATCTACACCGACCAACACAAGTTTCTTTGCCGCATTAATTGCGTCACACTGTCCTTCTGTGACTGCTCTGCAACAAAAAAAACAAAAACAAACAAAAAAATGCAGTCCATGACAAAAAACAATGGGGCATTTGGCTGTTTTTCTCTTATGACTTGGGTCTTTTACTGTGTTTTTCTTCATTTACAAACACTAACCCACTCTTTTATCCTGCACTCTTCACAGACCACATAGCAGCACCAGTGGAACTTGCAGTTGCAGCGTTCGCTGCGTGTCTGTTGCAGGATATTGTGCCCCCTCCCACAGCACAGACTCTCACAGTTGTCCATTCCAGGGCTGGTCTTGTTGCAGATCCTGCCCTGTGTGCCCGCTGAGTCCGAACTAAGGTCCCGCTCACAAAAATCAGGCGACTTCTCGAAGTACACCAGGTCTCTGCTGTTGCGCCGCCGATGTGAGTGGTGGCTGTCTCGATGATTGTGATGGTGATGATGGTTGTGGTTGTTATGGTTTGAATGATCCAGTTGGCCGTTATTCCTGTTTTGAGCCTTGATAAAGGTGGCAATATGAAAACGCTCTTTTAGGATTGTGCCCACCAGCCGGAACTCTGGAGTGACCTGCCAACAGGTCTTAAGCTGGCAGCTCCCTGACGTCCCATGGCACTTGCATTTCCTTCTCATGTTGTCCAGCACCACCTAGAAGACAGCAGAGGTAGAAAGAGGGAGAGAGAGAGAGAGAATAGAGCTTACTGAGTAAGGGGTATGATCAACAAGAATAATAACGTTTTCTTGCAATGTGTGTAGTGTTTAAAGCTTTACATACTAGTATGTACAACTAAATGTCTTTTAGTGGAGATTGATGTGAAAGACCAACACAAAGCAGCACATTATTATAGAATAACAATTTGAAAAACATGACCCTATTCATTCTACCCTGATACCCATAAATTAAACTCCAGTCAACCATCTGTCTTCAATCGTCATCGGCTAGGTGAAAAGAATCTACATGTGTGTAATTTTTGGTCTGTAAAAAGGCCACAGATGATATTTGAAAGCTTTATGGGGTTGTTAAGTATCATTAGCACACAAAGAGTATTACAAAGACCAAACATAACAAACAAGTCAGAGATGAAGTTGAGAGACGTTTAAAGCTGGTTTACTTTAGAAAGCAATATGTCAAGCTCTGAAAACCTCACAGGCCACTTTTCAGTCCAAAAATGGAAGGCTTATGGAACAACTGTAAACCTTACAAGACATGGTTAATCATCTATATTTACTAGTTAGGCAGAGAAAACGTTAATCAGAAAAGCACTCCAGGAGGGGATGGTAACTCTGAAGAAGCTGCTTAGATTTATTCCTCAGCTGTGAAAATCTGTTGACAATTAATCATGCACTAAAATAATTTAGTCTATGGAAGAGGAAGGCTAGCCATTACAGTTAGCCATGTAGGTGAAAAAGCAAAATGTGGAAGTTGATGTCTTGGTCAAATCAATCCATTATTGGTCTCTTTGGTCTACAAGCAAAATCATATGTGTGAAGGGAAGCTACAGTAACACTGTTCATTGCCCTAACAATAAAGAGGCCCTATGGTGAAACATGGTGGTAACAGTGTCATCCTGTGGGTATACAGTTTTTTTAGCTAAGACAGTGCAGCCCTTTAGATCTAAAAGGTAGATAGATAAAAAAAAATCAGTTGTCCAGAAGCCATGCAGGGAACACCTCACTATCCTTAAATGAAAAGGACTATCTTCTTATTGTCATCATCTTATACATTGTCCTTATGTGACTTATTGGTTGGTTTCACTACTAACAACAAAAAAAGCATGCAGCCCTTTCCTCTGCAAATAAGTATCTCTTTATGGGGATCTATCATATTGAATGTAAATAAAACTGATTGAGAATTGTGGCTTTAAATTTAGAAAGGATCAACAGGTACAATTTATTGTTCAATGCAGTGCATCTACTGAACAAGTTTATTTTTTCCAAAGTCCTGTGTATGCTTAATGTCTAAGATCCATTGCAGAAATATATAGTTCCCCTGTGGGAAATCCAGGTGGTCTGACTCTGAGTATGTGGTTAAACCTACTGATATCAAATAACACAGTGGATGCAGGCAATACCCAAACAGACAGCACTGTCATTACTCATCGGTTGGCATGAAGTAATGACTCCAGGGATGACCCACATGTAACAGCATATTACACATCAGGGCATTGAGGGATTCACATATTTTCACTTTAATGGTTTAATCCTGGCCAGTGCAGCCAAACTGGATGCCAGAGGCAATCATTGTTAATCAAAAGTGTTCAGCGTGTTCTGATAAAGGTTCAGATACATCTTGACATACAAATACATTTTATCATGAGGTCTGGAAATAATATTTGGGTAACTACTGTAGAGTCAGTATCCTGATCAGTAAACATAACCTTGCCTGTTTGATTCGGTGTGCAGACATAAACAAACACAGAAACAAGTGCTGCACAAGCCATGTTCATTTCTGCAATGTGTGTGCTGGTGGGTGTTTATCAGTCAGCACCAGTCCAAAACTTTAAGATCCAATTACCAACAGGAACACCAGGCCACCCAGAGTACTGACAGATGCTACTGCTGCCGCCCCTATCAACAGACACACATACACACACTCACACACAGGTTTGGCATTAAAGACATTCTAAACATGTGCAAGCAATAAAGCTAGGAGGCTTTTAGAGAACTACTCGCCTTTACTGTTTAGAAACTACCGATGCAAAATTCCTTTTCATTGTGCCAAATAAAAAAATGTGCATAGTTCATAATGTCCCCAACAAAATGCTAAAGGATATTTGATGATAACAAATAACTTGCAGCAATATAGCAAGCTCCTCAATTGAGCTGAGGATTATTACAAATGAATAAGGATAAAGTTCCTCATAAAGTGGTTTTAGTGGCAACGAGTGATAGTCTTATGTTTTAGAAAAAAAAAAAAAACGTTGCCTTCTGATATTTTTTGAATAGGATTTTTTTTTTCATTCTTGTTTTTAATTAATCACTGTTTATTTTTCTTCCACCTATTGAACCAAAAGTAAAAGAACTTCAATAATTTGGTCTTGTGTCAAAATTCCTGACATACTACTTAATTAATGCAATTTTTGCTATACTTTCAGCTGTACCTTCTCTTGATGTCATCAATCTTACAGCTAAAACCTAACCTGAATTAACATTCAAAATCCTTTAGTTGATGCAACCATTCCAAAAAAGGTAAGAGGAATTGATACTTAATAAAAACTTCTGTGTGTTTCACATTATTACAATGGAATGAGTTTCTTAGTGCAGACGGAAGCTCTCAAATGAATTTCAGGCCTTGCTAAAAACAAACAAACAATCTCTGGGAAATCTAATATAGCCCACTTTCATTTTCAGAAAAGGAAAGTTGTGGAATTGCTAAAACAGGATCCAGAACTAAGTTGCAAGAAAAATCTAAGGGGTTACTTAAAAAGACCTTTGAACAAGAGATTTCCACACAATCAGAACCTTTTCTGAACACACTCAGCGTACACTGGCCAGCCAAGATGTTACAAATTAGTAGATGATCACTAAAGAAGATGCTGAATAAAAAAATAAAAAGCTTTATATAGTTTTATTTAAAGAGCCTGCATAATTAGGCAGTCATTTTAATAATGGTCTTTTATCTATTCATGCTAAATCCCCACATATTGTGAGCTAAAATACAGGACTTGAAGATGCACCGTGCAAGCTCAAACTTGTAAATCTTGCAAGTAACCATTAAAGCAGCTTGCAGATATTATGGTTCATAGTTGCAACAGATTCAAGTCTGACCAGACAGATTCAGCAGGAACTGAACAACTAGTTTCTGTTGTGAATGAGCTTGATACTAAACACTTTACATACTCTAATAGAGGAAAGACATATGGTGGAAAGGAAAGTGGTAGAAGCTCTCAAGGCTCGGCAAATGAGAACAAAAATCCAAAGCTTGTTGCTGCAGGAGTCACAGGGCATGATTTTCTTTTCTACTTTTGAGCAACGTTTAAGTGTTTTTTTTTACTGTTTCTGTTCAGGGGTAAACTTAATCACAGGTCAAACTGCAAAAGACCATTTATTGAAGCCCAGAAGAAGAGATTTTCTTTTACAAGGATTTAGTCTAAGCTGGCTAAAAAAACATATTTTAAAATTTTTTTTTCTTAAAATGTTTAGCGATGTGCAGTTGACTTGTAGTGTTTTTATCTTATAGCTACCCGACATTTTAACACTTTTTTTTCTTAACTGTTAAGATCCACCCCACATAAAAAAAAATTTAAAGTACTGATATATCTGGTTGAATAAATAATGTAATGATACAGTAAAAAAAAAAAAAAGTTTTGCATCATTGCATGTTTTGGGTACCACTTGTTGAGATGAAAGAAAATAACCCACAATTTTGCTTTTTGTATAAAAAGTATTCAACTGATTTAGAGTGTTGAAAGGAAAGTTTAAAGGAGTTGTGATCAGTGGTGAGGGGATAATAAAGGCTGTAAGATTTCAGGGTAAACAACAGTAAAACAGTTCAAACAGCACTTGCACTGAGTTCAGAGTGCAGCTTAGCAAGTTTTTAGAAAGAGTCAGAGGCAACCCCAGAAACGCAAACGTCCGGGCCTTAAACACACAGTAAAGTCTGTAATCATGAAACGCTCCAGCCCACTTAAACCTTAAAGAGACAAACTGACCTAGGAGTCATAATTGCATCCACATTGCTACTGTTTGATGACAGGTCATTCACTGCGGGATATGGGGTTCAAAGAAGAGTAGAAAAGCATAAAAAAGAGCTTTTGTACGGTGTTATTTTGATGTATAAAACCTCAATATAACACACAAATTTAGCTTTATTTTGTGAAGAAATATTTACAGTTCTCTCTCTTTTTTGGAATATATATTCTGGCTGATGGATAGATTTAGAGTAAGAATGATCAAACTATCTTTTCAGAAAGATTAAGCTAAGTACAGGAAGCTGCTATAGCTGTTATAAGGTGGACAAATAAAAAGTCAACCACTCACTGGACCACTGCGTTTTACACAATCTTCTAACCCCCATTAAACCATTTCGTACCAGAATTGCTTTTTAGTATTGTATAAAACATATACAGTTTCAAGTAAGTAATGCTCTTGCAAGGCATCTAAGACTTCACTATATATAATCTGATCTTCAGCTAAGTTAGCCTGGCTCAGACATTTTGGCTTTATCTGAAAACTCTGAGATGCAAGGCACTGGACAAAGTGCTGTAAACTCCAAAACACGAGCACAAAAAAACACTGCAAACAAAAAAGAAATGAGTTTCAAACAGGTGAAAACATGCAGCGAACGGTGAAATGACCTGCAAACATATGTAAACACACACAAAAAAACAACAGCTACATGCAATGCTGCAAACAGCAAAAACAGCAGAAAACTTGCTCTATCGAATTTGAAGTGTTCACATGAGGGAGATAAAAAAATGACCAAACCATATAGAACCAGCATCCCTTATATGTTAATATACATAACTATGTTGTTATTCTGTAAAACTGCAAGACTACGTGTTTGACAATAAAATGAAAGATAACAAACCACTAATTTCTGCTTTTTTTTTTTTTACTTTTTAAAATCATGTGTTAAAACTTAATTTCCTGTTTGTACTTAGGGTTTTGTCCGATATGATTTTAAAGCAATTTAGCTTATTTATATA